GAAGGTCAGGGATCCCTTTACCTCCGAAAAGATCTCACAGATTTCTTCCCCAATGCACAGAAAAGCCTTGCCCCAGAGGACAGGTTTTAAGTGGGACATACTTAAAGCAGAGAAGAGATGCAGTGCTTTTTTGCAACAAGCATTCTTTTGACTAAATTTCCTAAATTTCTCAACGAGTGCACCACTGTACTCAGTGATTAGAAGCACAGGAACGAAATGTGCAAACGGTAATGCTCGTCACGTTCAAACGAGTGATATTAACCCTGTAAGACACTTGACGTGCCACTCGATGTGTCAGAGTTATGTCCTCGTTTCAGTATGCTAGGCATTTCACCCTCTGCCTTGTCCACGCCACGATGGATGCAACCGCTAGTAAAACGCATGTGTACATTTGGTTCACGCCCGCAAGCCCTTGCCACTGCTGCCTCTACTTGTAGAAGCTGCTTCGGTGTAGAGTTGCGGTTTACTGGCAAGTAAACAATGCGGCGCATTACATCAGAAGCCATCTTCGGATATCCCATACCTCCTGCACAGCCTGGCAGTGCAGTGCAGCAGACGAGCGTAGTAGCGTCGCTAGCAGCAAACAGCCCATTTTGTCGAAGAACAGCCTCGAAATCCGCACTACTCCATCCATCCGGTGTGACGACTGGAAATAGCCTGCGGACACGATGCAGAGGTCTCTTTTGCAGGCTATCAGCGCAGTAACCCTAGACGTCGTGGTCCGATGAGGCCAAACAGCTAGTTAATTCACGAGATTCTAAAGCTCCGCTGTCATTTCTTTTCACGACATACAAAGATAAAAACGCTTCCATTTCAATAATAGGCTCATTCGTTTGTGCACAAACATATTGAGGTGCAATAACATCCTGGAAGAGGGTGCACAGCCAACTTAAGGTGTTTGACCAGCAGTAGTATATGACTGTGTCAAGAGTCTCTTGTAAATAACAATAGTCTAAAGTGATTTAAAGTGTTTTGCCCCGCCCCACCAGAAGGTCTTGAAATCAGCATCACTTCCTGGCAATTGGAAACCTAGGTGCTGGAGCCTCCGAGCGAATCTGGTCGTGCGCAACTGCTGTTCAATGAACTCCTGCAAATTCCACGAGTCAAGTCTTTTCCTGAGGTTTCCCAGAGTCACAAGCAACGATACAGGGTTGTGAAGCCTCAAATATAGAATAAATCAGCAGCATATCTACCGACTGACTCTATCGTGCACTGATTATACAATTCGTACATGAGCACTGCAAGAAGTGAAGAGCTTGGTTGGAACCGGAGAAGCTTAAAAAGCTGCCCTGATGATGGAAAGCCCCGTACCTGCAAAATACACGGCACTCACAATGCAATGAAACTACACAGTAGCTACAGCGCTGCGCGCGTAGCGTTAAAAGTGCTTTCCTTCCTGCTGCTGCGCTGGTCGAATAGCCGGCCTTCCTGGTGCCAAACAGGGAAAAGCTTACAAATGACTGTAGGAAAGTTCCTGGATTCCAGCCTAGCACACTTTCAAAGCACCACAAACACAGACAGGAGCATGCTTCACGCCGAAACGAACTAACCTAACAACGACATGTCCCCTTTCTGCAAAGGAACGGAGAACTAGCTGCTAAACGTTATCCTGAAGCGCCAAAGTAGCTCATGCATGCGGTGCTACCTTACTGGCAAAATCTCAAGAATGTCTTCATAAACACTTCGCTTTGCAGTCCGCATGCCCCCAGAGTCACGAAAAGCTTTTTGAAAAATGTCCGACGGCTGCTATATGGATACAGCGATTGCAAGGAGCGCATGCGCGCAGCGACAAAACGGCTACGCACCTGCAAGACAAGTCAATTTTGCACCCCACAAAAGGAAGCCAGATAGGTTCCGTTACTCGTTCATTGTGGCCTCGTCAAACAAGGAAAAGGCGAAGAGACACTACTACATTATATACCCAGCTTCGGCCTCCGGCGTGGATAACACAGCTGGAAACGCACGGTTGCAATCCCTCCTCCAGCGGAAGTACACGTCTTGATCAGCCCGAAGGAGAAAAGGCTGACATCCGCCCAAGGGTGGCCTAAGAGCAGGGACAGCGGTGAACACACGGCAGCCACATTTTGCCAACGGAAACACCAGAAACGTAACCAACGCTACTACGGACGGAACCATCAACGACAATGGATTTGCCACTGACCTTTGTACAGCTCTCCGACAAATGACTCAGCGCAATCCTCTATGAGAAGCAGCTTGTGTTTTATGCTGAAGTCCACAAGAGGTTGTAAGTCGCAGACGCCTCCGTAAAGGTGAGAACAGAGGACTGCTTTAACCCTAGAGCCCCAACATTGCACTGCCTGCTGTAAAATTTGCTCGCTGGGCATCAACGTATGAGGGTCGAGATCAAGCGGTTGTACTACCAAGTGGTGCTCCTCTAACACCCTGAACATCATCGGCACGTTAACAGCTGTGACGAGAACCACAGAACCCCGCGGCAACAGCGTAGGCTGCAGTGAGCGAATGGCCTGAATGTACAGGTCCAGTAAACTGCGTACGCACAGACCCACGACGCACCCGACGGTGCTGTTCAAAGGGGTCCTTTGTGCAGATGTCCAGAGCTCCTGACCTTCAAAAGTGGAGGGATTGTTTCTACTATAAGGCATATGCGCACTTTTCGAGTCCGCAAAAGCAGCCAGTAGCTCCACTGGAGGTGCTATGATTGTTCCATCATCTCTGCGGAAAGGGCGCCACGTCGTCGGCAAAGCGTCAGCACAGTGCACTTCACTGTCTGACAAGAAGCGATCCATCGAATAGGCTGGTAGCCCGCATGAGAGACTGGCGTCCACCGTATTCGTATACCGATCTGCTGCAGCCTCGTCACTGAGGTCTGTGGGCGGCAGTGTGGGAGTGTCCTGCCCGCAGCGGTGATCCTGGCGCTTTAAGCTGCCAAGCAGTAGACGGACCTTATCGACATTCACATTTTTGAGCTGCCTATAGGGTCGAGTCCATAGCTCTTCCAGTCTCCCATGCAGCCTCCTCGCAATGTTGAGCCTCCCGCTACTGCCTGAGAATAGAGTGGCTTTTGCCTCTTCGACTGTGACTGATGCAGCTGTTCGGAGCATTTGGAGGGCGGAGGAAAAATTAACATCGACGTAAACAGCAAGAGCCGCCAAGGGATTCTGCGGTGTAGGTGCAGCAACTTGTTCAAGCTGGGCTCCCTCCACAAGCGATTCCACAGGAGCGGCAGGTGACTCAAGGAGCTCTTCCACTAACATACGGCAACGATAACTCTCCCCTGAGTCAGCTGTCGACCCTTCGGTAGTTTTGCCAGATGAAGTTGAGCCTCCATCTGTGCTTACTTGGTAGGACTCCATGAACGGCTGGGTGCTGCGCCAGTTGAGGGGGTCAACCGCCACTAAGTGGAAATTCCTGTCTGTAAATCAACCAGGGAATATATTTTTACTTTGCATAACTGAATTTGAGATAGGGACAGGGGCAGGGAAATTCAGAGCAGTGTAGCGCCGGAATGGCCAACACGGCCAACCACTGGTCTATTGATCCTCCAGAGTTAGGACTAACCCAATGATTTTCGTGTGGATGCTTCCAACGATAAGTTGAAAAAGGACACAACTAATGGTGAAACTGGGTGGGGTATTGGCCGTGGGAGGTTGGCAAAGGATCTAATAGTGGTAGCATCGAGTTCTGACGTTCATTCCTGAGGCAAGCCCGTGGCTACCAAGTTCTGAATGTCTGTAGAGCTACCGGCTCGTGGAAAGCGGAAGACAGGAATAGATTTGGGTTTCTTCCTACTTTTATAATCGGAAACTGCCAAAAGTAACTAAGACTTCAGCCATTTCTCGTCACCCCTTAGCACCACACCGAACGCTGACCGATGAGGGGTCAGCTCGAGACCCCTCCATGCTCGGCACACGGCATTGCACTCCGCTGCTCAGAATGTAGATTTAATTATATCCTTAGTAATAAGTGTTTATTCTTGTAGTGAGGAGCTCCCAAAACTAGGCGTTTTGAAGGGCTAGCCGTGCAATATGCAATTCGCAGAGTGGTAACACAGCTGTGCTAGACCACGCAATGACGGTTATACACAGGATGCCCCTAACACTTTTCCCCTCGTTAGCTCCTGTTTTGCCAATTCAGATGTCGGTAAGGCGGGAACACGCCATGAACGATGCGGTGCGCAGGATTGCTCTGGCCCGCACCTCCGAACCTCACTACTGAGAACACTAAAGGTGGCAGCATACAACAATGCACACCAGAGAGAGGCATTCGTTGATTGACAGCTTGGACCCTCCGACGAACGACCTGCCTTGCTCTCCGGAAGACGCGAGAGCAAGGCGCTCGTCTGTCGGGTCATGTTGTTGAACACGTTCAGTATGATACACAGCTTCGAGTGAATCTGTCTATTCGAGAGGCAGCTTGGGCCCTATGCAAGTGCAGGTCTGGCAAGCTTCTGATTGGACCCCAGTGTCCCATCGACCACCAGACCCAAACAGTTCCGTGGCAGCTGCTAGTATGTACCATGGATGTAACAGAATTGCTAAGCGGTATCGTGAGCATCAATTGGTACCATGCGCACCTTGCACTCTGGAGAGCCTATCAGAAACTGCATAAAGAGTTTGCTGGTGAAGGACTAACTAGCCCACTTGGAGGGTGGAAATGTCCATATTTTGAGAAGCTTGGAATACCTGCGGCGACTGGCACCATACCGTAACCGTAAGCAAAACATTTTAGAATTTTTCGGAGATGCGAGAGCATTTCCGGTTGTTTCCATATCGACTGTCTCCTGCTTTGGTGTATATGGCAATAGTTTTCAACTGTACGAGATTTTGGCGGGAACTTCAATCCTAAGAATCGCTCCCCATATGGGTCCTCAGGAACTCGTGGGACGCCTTTGATCACTGGCGCACTCATGAAACACAATGCTGCCATACTACACAGGCATATACGAAGCGCTTGGGCCTTGAAAATAAAAAAAACTCCCAGTGGACAGCCTCCCTGAGTTCACTGCGAGCCATTATTCGTCCAAGGCGTCAAGCAATTGAATCCTCGGTTAGAACATGCCGGTAGAGATTCAGCCTTGCTTGAAGAAAAACCAAACGAGCGGCGTGTTGTTGTTCACACCTGCACAGTTTACAGTACAGCAGTTAATGTCTTCTGCAGCGCTTAA